CAGCGGGAGCGGCAGCATCAAATACCCCCCAACCCACCCCAAGACTGAAAGGGGCTCCCTGCCCGACCCAGTTGTGCCCGCGTGTGTTCTGCTTTGTCGGGGCTCTTGGTGTTGTCCTTGAAAGGGAAGCTGATGGAGAAACGGTTCATGGCTGAACTCTGCCAGCTGGGGGCCTGGCAGCTTCCTGGTTTCAGCTCAGACTGGACAGTGGGAGCGGCAGCATCAAATACCCCCCAACCCACCCCCAAGATTAAAAGGGGCTCCCTGCCAGACCCAGTTGTGCCCGCATGTGTTCTGCTTTGTCGGGGCTCTTCGTGTTGTCCTCGAAAGGGAAGCTGATGGAGAAACGGTTCATGGCTGGTCCCTTTCCTGCTGCCCCCTCCCAGCAGGAGAGTCCACGGGGAACGCAGGAGCGCAAAGCGGAGGTCTCCCCTGGAGATGCCAGTCCCAGGCAGTTCCCTCAGGTGAGGCTACCCTTCCCACCAACTTCCACCCAATGATGTCACCCCCGAGGCTTGTTGCGTCTCTATGACTTCATTAGGGGCAGGAAAATGGGGATTTATGATTCTAGCACTCCTCTGACTTTTATCAGCTCAAATTCCTAGAAGGAGGAACGTAGCCACTTCAACTAAGGCTATATTTCAACCCTGAAATGAAGCTCACCTGGAAAAAGTAAGATGATTACTTATTCCTTCCAATGGCTGTGCTTTGAGTAAGAGGTTGGTGTCCTGTGCGTCATAGGTGTCCAATGAGGTGGGTTTTGGGAGGGTGTCTTTGGGAACTCAAGGGTTTATATGTTGAGTATCTTGGTCAATAATAGCATTTGCTTTCTTTTTGGAAACTCAGTTGACCCATCCTTGGCCCATGATGCTCCTTCCTGGTGGCCCGCTGTCCTCCTGACATGGGCTGACAGGGCTCTTGCTTTCTGGCCCAACAAGATTTCTCGGGCTCAGCTGGTACGGTTCTTGCTCTGGACCTGCAGTTGGCCATTCCGCCAGGAGCTCGAGGTTCTCCAGTCAGGGTGTGACCCCTCCGCTTGGACGCCAGATTCGTCAATTCACTTACCTGAGGCCACACGCTGGCTTGTGGGGAGCCAGTTTCCTGGCCCCAAACATTCAGGGACCTTTCCCCCCTGCATGTGGTTCCTGTGGCTTCCGTGTGTGGGCCCTGTGGTGGCCCGTGGCAGCCTGGTGCTTGTGACGTCAGTGTGGGGCCGTGGAGAGGGCAATGGGGTGAGGGTGATGCCCGCAGGCTTGTGCTTTGGTGGGGCCAGGCTCACCTGGAGGACTTGACCACATGGCCGCACCTCCTCCTTGGCAAGGAAAGGGAAGACAGCCAGGAACAGGCTGCCCACCTTTGTTTTGTAAACGTGTTGTCCAGGGTCAGAGGCAACAGGAGACCCATATGTGGCTTTGTTGCTGAGGAGGGTTTTCTCCAGGGGACCTGCTCGTGCCCTTGTCAGCATCGCCTTCCATCTGTGTCCTGGGCCCCGTGGGGCTGTGTGCTCCTCTCTTCTTGCACCTGGCAGACGCCCTGTTGCTGCTGGTGGCCTCCTCAGGCTGCCCACCTTTGTTTTGTAAACGTGTTGTCCAGAGTCGGAGGCAACAGGAGACCCACATGTGGCTTTGTTGCTGGAGAAGGTTTTCTCCAGGGGACCTGCCCGTGCCCTTGTCAGCATCGCCTTCCGTCTGTGTCCCAGGCCCCGTGGGGCTGTGTGCTCCTCTCATTCTTGCACCTGGCAGGTGCCCTGTTGCTGCTGGTGGCCTCCCGGCATAGAGAGGCCCGGCCAGGCCCCAGTGGGAGAGAGAGGCAGGACTAACACTAACGCCCCGAATGACCGCACTCCTGGCGGGTGGCCCAGCCCAGGAGTCCCCGGGGGGCCTCGGAAATGGGGTCCCGCAGCAGCCACATCTTCATTCCCCTGGCTTTCTGGGGCGGCCACCGGCACCTTCCCCCACCTAGGCGTTCCCTGCCTTCTTAAAAAACGTCTGTGGGTGTCACAGCCAGCCCAGGACCAAGTACAGGACAAAGAAAGCTGAGCTCCATTCTTTGGCATTAACCCCTTCCTGCCCTCAGTTACCCAGACACTAATGGCCAATTAACCCCTCCCTGCCCCGAGGCAGACCCACAGGGATTTGGCATGAGAACTAAGGAGAGGTCTGTGCAGGGCCTGCGTTTCTTGCAGGTAGAGGCTCCATAAATCCAGGCTGTCATCACAGTAAAACCGGCCTTACAGCGAGGGCCTAATTGTCAGACCATCAGCAGTGTGAGGACAGCCCTCCGGCAGACAGGAGGTGCGTCTGGATCTTGGAGAGACAGCTGGCCGCCACCTGTGGGCATCTGCCCTGCCTTACCTGGACTTGGCGTGCCCTTAAGGCTGGTCGTGGGTTCTGTGTTGGTCCAGCCGGTGCTTCCCTGGGCACATGTGTTCCCTTTAATCATGATTCCAGGCCCAGGTACCCACTAGGCCGCCTGCCTTCCCGTGGCCTCCCCCAGTTTGGGGTGGGGATTTGATTCGACATCTTCCCATCCCCCAAAAAGATGGTCTTGAGGAGGAGGTGGAGGGAGTGGTCCATCAGCTGAGTCAGATATTTACTCCTGGTCGCTAGGCATGTGCCCCCAGCTCACAACAGCCAGAGGCTCAGCCTTTTCATACAGACGTCAGATCAGGCACTCACCCAGGGAAAGGCTGGTTCTGTGGGAGGAAAGGGGCCACAGGCTGGCCTGACCAGCTCAGGAGGCCTGCGTGGCGCCCTTGCGAACTCGAAGACCTGAAGTGACCCCATGGGATGGTCTGGAATTAAGACTTTAATTAAAAGCAGTCTACGGTGGGGAGTCATGTCCTGGGGCGGAATCTTCCCTGACAAAAGTCAGTCTTTACCTTATCAGAGCCTGTCTGCTATCTTTTTGCATCTGCGATAACAAATCTTTGGAAAGTGAAAGTAATTTTCCTTTTTCTGGGCCCCTCAAAGCATAGGCGCTGCTCTGCGGAGACCACAAATCCCCTTTGTCACTGAGTTAGTTGTTGGCTGTTAACTATCCTGTGCCCACCTAAGTAAAAGAAGCATGTGTCTATCATTTTACTTTTTATCCAATCCCTGAGGCCTCCTCCCTTTGCTTTCTCCCGCCTCCCTAACTAACACCAGTGGATTTCATGTCACCTGCTTACGTCTCCTCTTTTGATTGTCATGTATAAAACAAGGTGAAAACCCGCCATTCTCCGGAGCCCGGTCTCAATCCGCTGAGGTTCTGCTTCCCGGCAATTGTTGACAGTTTGGCTCAAATAAACTCACTACAGTTCTTCACGGGTTTGAATGTTTCTCAAGGTTGACAGTTCTTTTCATCAAAGACAAAATGACTTTAAGGAAACTAGACCTTCTGGGAACTGCCTGCTCTCATTTCAAGGCCAATTTCAATCCTGTTTTCGTCAAGAAAGAAAAAGGAACAAAGAAGGAAAGACAAAAAATTTCACTCACAGGTGATCCCCAGCTCCTGGCCTGGGGTGTTCTGGGACCACGGGGACAGCTGCCACGCCTCTCCCTCCTCTTCGCCCTCGAGGTCCTGACCCCAGAGTCCCCACAGCCTCAGGGCTGGGGAGCAGACTGGCTCTGCTCCGCTCTTTCCTGGGTTCCCTCCCACCTCTTAGGAGGCTCTGAAAAAGGGGGTGTTGACCTTAAAATGTTGCCTTCTTTCCCTGTAACTCAGTGATGTGTTCACTTTCTCCAACTTTCTTTGGGGGAGGGGTCCTGGGTTCCTGGCTTACTGGGTTCCTGTGGGACCTGATCCACAGGTGGCAAAAACCCGTTGCACACACACTAAGCACTAGCTGCTAGTGTGTGTGTGTGGGGGGAGAATCATAAGATGCAACCCCATGACCCCTGAATTTACCATCTAACTGGGGAGACAGAGAAGGCACACAGGAAAGGGTGTTGCTATAGTTCGTTGCTTCAGACACTTCACCATCATCCAGCAGCCAGTGGCACACAGTAGGTGCTTTACAGCTCTCACTGAATGAACACTAGCGTGCTGAGGAAGAACAGCCAGAGTGGGGGTCCCAGGGCAGGTGTCCTGCCTGAATCCCCTCCAAGCCCTCAGCTCCCAGCACAGCCTCCCTCATGCCCCACAGGCTTGGACAGGCGTTTGCTGATGCTCACAGAGAACTCCCCATGGATGCAGGCCCAGGAGGCTTCCTGGAGGAAGTAGGGGGAAGCTTTTCTTTGGAGGATGTGTAGTGTTTCTGAGGGGAGTGTAATGGGCTGAATTGTATCCTCCAAAATGCATATGTTGAAGTCCTAACCCCCAGTTCCTCAGAATGTGACTGTGTTTGGAGACAGGGTCTTTAAAAAAGGTGATTATGTTAAAACTAGAGGCCCAGTGCACGAATTCGTGCAGGGGTGGGGTCTGGCCGGCCCGGCCCCAATCAGGGTGGATCGGGGCTGGGCCTGTTGGGAGGAGGAGATGGCGGGAGGTTGGCCGGCTGGCCCACCCTGATCGGGGCCCAATCAGGACCCGGCCAGCTGAGGGGAGGGGCCATGGGCGATTGGCAGGCGGGCCCCGCCCCCAAATGGGTGGGGGGTGCTGATCAGGGGCCAGCGACCTGGGGGTGGGGCCTTGGGTTGTTGACCCTGCCCTTGATTGGGGTGGGGCAGCCAATCTGGGATGGAGCTGGTGGGGGGGGAGGGGCTACAGGAGGTAGGCCAGCCAGCCCTGCCCCCTATTGGGGTGGAAGGGGCGATCAGGGGCAGAGCCAGCCGGGGGGAGGGGCTGTGGGAGGTTGGCTGGCCCACCTTGCCCCCTGATCGGGCAGGTTCGCTGGCCACAGTGGGAGTCATAGCGACCGGTCGTTTGTTCATTATGGCGTTACAGTCACTGGCTTTTTATATATATAGATGGGATCATATAGGTGGACCCTAATTTAATCCAACTGGTATCCTTAGGAGAAGAGGAGATCAGGACACAGACACACAGAGGGACGGCCATGGGAGGACACAGGGAGAAGACAGCTGTCTACATGCCAAGGAGAGAGGCCTCGAAGGAACCAGCGCTGCCGACACCTGGGTCCTGGACTGCCAGCCCAGAACTGTGAGAACTAAACTGTAGTTACAGCAGCGCAGCCTGTGGGACTTTGTTGCGCAGCCCAAGCTAATACAGGGAGGGCCCAGCCCCTGTCAGAGGACCTGCCAGGACGTCCGAGGGGCATGGTCAGTCTGGGAGGAGAGGTATTCTTCGGGGATCTTGGAAGCCTTGCTTTTCTTTCACTGACGCTTCATTGTCGTTGATTTGAGACGTGCCCGGGAGTGACTGAAAGACGGTAGTGCAGGCCCAGCAGGTCCCGAGAGTCTCGGGGTGAGACCATCCCTCCGTGTGATCCTATGGCATTGTGGGTGGTGGTGTCACCCTGAAGGGGCTGACTTCCTCATGTCCATGCTCTTCAGATGGTGACCAATGTCCAAGGGTGGCAGAATGTCCTCCTGCTCCTGCATGTGTCAAGGACACGGCTGGGAAGATGGGTGCCAAGCTTGGTCCCCAGAACCTCATGCCGGGACCCTCGCCTGCCTGCAGGGTGGGCTGTTGTCCAGCCGAGCTCAATGCTCCCAGGCCCGCACCAGCCCCCTCAGCATCCACTGCTAAGCACAGGGAAGGTTCTGGATGGGGCTGGAGTGAACAGGTGTCTGAAAGCCCAAGGTTAGAGGGGCGCTGAGCGAACTCTCAGGGCTGAGACCTCAGTGGCTGCAGGTTCAACCTGGGGGATGAGGCCGGTCAGCCCAGGCCGCTGGCCCTGAGGGCCCATGGGAGTCCGTCAGAGGGGCCCTGCGTCCCCGCTCAGGGCTGCGGACCCACACCGGGCACTTGGCAGCATGAAGTCATTAATCCCCACACCTTCCCTGTGAAGTAGGTGCTATTATCTCCATTTCCAGGGCCCGACAAGACAAGGCAGGCTGGGTGCCCCATAAACCAGAGCACTGGCCCCTGGCTCCGGCAGCCAGTGGGGTGGGTGTGGGGATCCAGTGTGGGGGACAGCAGACGTGGTGACAGGAGTGCAGAGCCCCC